ATGAGGAGTAACGGTAGTTCGAACTAGGAAGCCTAGTTCGAACTACCTAGTTCGTGCCCCGTGTAGCCGCGCTGCACGGGGTTCGAATGAGCGGGGTTTTAAAAATGGCGGCGCCCCGCTTATGCAAATGAAGCCCGGGAAATTTAAATCCCGGGCTTCATTTGCAAGTGCGGTATGCCTACATTACCCTCCTAGTTCGAACTAGGAGGGTAGTGTAGACATACCCTGTGTTATTTACCAGAACAACCCTGCTGCCTAGTGACTATAGGAAACAGGGTTGACAGAATTGCCGGCCCCTGGGCAAAGGGGGTGGGGCCTGGCTCCACTCTCCCAGAAGGGGCGGGGCCTCAGAAGAAAGGGGCAGGGCTAGGGGCAGCCAGCCCTCAGTGCTGTCCGGAGCACACTGCACTGCACTCGTGCCTCTCCAGCCGGCGCTCAGAGCTACCCAGAGCACACAGCGCGCCAGTAGAAACTAAAGGGCCCAGCGCTTCAACCATCACCGCTCCTGCAGTAGTGGCAGCTGGGAACCCTGGGCCCTTTTCAGTCACTGGGCCCTGGGGCAGCTGCCTCCTTCCTCCCGCTCCTGTCAGCAAGCCTGATGGGAAACACTGTCAAAAGTACATTCAGCACATAGAAAAAGAAACTGTTGATTTGGAGGAGTCTCAGGTTTGGAGTGCTCAACCTGAGGCTCTTTCAGAGCCTGTTTCTCAAAAGGTGGATGCTCTGTGCTTTCTGAAAATCAGATCCCTTTCAGGTATATCCAGTCACTCAAACATCACTAAGCACTTCTGAAAACTTTAGCCAGTGTCATTGAATAGCAATGTGGCTTAGCCTCCTTAGTGACTGAATCATTTCTTGAAATGGCGTTTGGGCACCTAAATCACTAGGCTTTTGTGAAAAAGCTAAGATGCTGGATTTGGCTGGTTCTCTCTGGTAAAGATTTCCTCCATGCAAGTCAATGTACTCAGAATAAATATTATCTTCTCTATCCTGCTACCTGTCAAACATTTGCAATCATCAGTGATTTTATTAAAAATTCAGAGGCTTTAAAACATACTGATTATCCACACAACTCAGAAATTGGCAGCATTGAGATTATCTGGATTTACTGTAATTATTCTGGATTGATGCCTAGAAATGACAAAAAAGCTATTTTGATCTTAAAAGCTGATCTATGTTTCCCTTCTCACTTCATGATCATTACTTTAGAGAAGGAAAGGGCAGGCTCTAAAGCAAACAAAGAAGGCAGCAATCTATAGAGTCCAAAGCATTGCATGTGGTCTGTAAATCATACACCACGTACACTGATGTCTTCGTAGCTAGGAGGGGGTGTGGCACTGGGCTCACCCTGTGACTCTGTTTCCCTCCTGGATGACGTGGTCCTGAGCAGCATGCTGTCTGAGGAGCTGCGTCTGCGGCTCCTTGGCCATGTGTCATCCTCATCCAAGTCTTCATATAGAGGGGGTGTATTCTCCTCCTTCCCACCACAAGGCGGTATATAACCAACGGGACTTTGAGCAGGCCTGCAGTTCAGGGCTTCTTCATAGGTGGGGATAGCATTGGAATCCCAGGCACTGAAACAAACAGCAAAGCAAAACTACATCAAGCGGAACCAAATCAAATGCATCCCTCTGTAAAACTGGATGTATAATGAAGTACAGGGACTAGGTAAAAGTAGCTATTGCATTAGCTAGTAGTGGCTCCAAAACTCCTGGCTGTCTAATAGAGACGTCTGAATATGACCAGGTTCACTTTCTTTAAAGAGGTGTGGGGGGGGAAGACGACACTTATCACTCTTCTACCGCAAAGGTGAGCAACCTGCGGCCTGAGGGCTGCATGCAGCCCATCAGGCTTCTATAAGTGGCCCATGAGGCATTTTGCCCCCGCGCAGCGTTGCCAGATTCTGCTGGTTTCCAATGACATCATTTTTTCCTGTCAGTATTAACAAAGTGACACTCCTCTAAACCAACGGCACCTGAAGTGAGGTGTGTGCTGATTGCACACAACATTGACTGTAAAAGCCAGATGCACCTTCTGCATGCAAAGTGCTGCTACAGTCCAATTAGCACCCCTTGCCCCAAATTCTAGTTACTCAAGCACAGTTAACAAAATACCCTATCCTGGGAGACAATCTTGCAGTCCACTGAGCTGGAGGAGGGCCACTCATGCGGCCCACTCACTAGCCTAGATTGCCTGTCACTGTTCGACTGGGCCCCTGGTGCTAGTGACTTCTCCTTCATTCCAGCTGCTAAGCATTGTGTTAAAGACCAGCTACGCTATTTTCTAATGTAAACAACTGCTGTGGTCATCACATGGAAGTCAAGGAAGGGGAGGTGTTTCAAGAGAAATGTTCTGTATGAAAGTGTGATCTACTTTAACAAAAGATGTTGGAGAAACCCCATCTGCGGCGACTAAAGACACTGATGTGAAGGTAATTTTGGTCTGTCGCCACTCTGTGCCATGTGGTTATAACTGCGTGTTGAAAGGTGACAAACTGATAATACGTTACAGTGTCTACCTCTACTGTATGTTTGGGCACCCTAAAGTGTGGACCTCTCCTAATCTGACATGATCATGCAGATGATTTTCAGGAGACCTGTATAGATACTATAGCTTCAAGCTTCCTTCTCTCCCTCTCCTTCAAACTGCCTATTAGCATGTGCACTCCTTCTCTCCCTCTCCTTCAAACTGCCCATTGGCATGTACATGAGCTGTGATGTCTAGAGGAATTCATCCAGCCAGTGATGCCTACATTTTGTCACAGCTGGAGTTAGCCAACTTTATGTCTTTTATAAACATCTCTGTGTAGTGTAGAACCAAAGACCGCAATGAAGATCCAAGATCTGATTGTGCTAATACACTAACAACAGTACAAACATGATATATTTTGAAACAGGAATCAAGAAAGGAGAATGGCAAATGAAAGGAGGAAAAATGGAGGGAAGGGACGATGAGGGTACCAAAAGCAATCAAGGGTAGATAAGTTACTGCTGGGGAGACTAGGGCTGTCCGAGTGCCTTTCAGGTCCTGTTGGGAGTCTCTGGGTACTACCAAAAGGCAAATACATAACACTGTTATTATCATTATTATTTACTATTAATAGTGTCCACAGTTAATCGTTAACTAATCAGCAGTGGGGAGAACCTGGGAAAAACGCAATGTTTGTGCCTTTCGACTCTGAATAAACACAGGCTGTGTACGGGGAAACATTTGCACGACCTGTAATCTTCTCACTTTCCCTTTCCTTGAAGAGAAGATTAAGAAAGGTGTAAGGCTGTGACCACAGCCCTCTCAGTTAAACCTCTAATGGGGCCTGGCTTGAGACTTGATGTTTGTATCGCATGGCTAGGACATGGCAACGATGTGCTGAAATTAACACGCACACACGCTGCAGAAATCCTGTCGAAACATTGAGCCTTGCTCCTTCCTGAGCCTGTTGTACCCAAGGAAGCCAAAAGCTTGGGACTGGATGTTCTAGCAAGGCAGACATGGGTTATCACAGGAGACTCTCGTCCTTCAAATGGAACACAATGAAGTCTATACGAGAGATGCTGATTCACCAACTTGCCGCTGGGCAAGTAGTCCTACTCTGCCCTGCCAGTGGGTCTCAGTCACGCCCTAGTGCAAACACTGTCAGAGCTGCTCTCTGTTATAGGAGTGCGCTGTAAGGGGAAGGTTTGCATAGAGGTACACAGTTGATAGATAAGGTGGTAGTAGCAGGTGAGGCTCAGAAATTTTGCTTGTACAATTCCAAGCACAATGGGAACCTGGTCCACGATGAGGACTCCTAGACTCTATGCTCAGAATTTGCCCAACAGGCTTATGGTGAGAAACTGGCCTTTTTTTAAACAAAAGAGAAAAAAAGTTTGAAAACCAATAAGTTGCCCCAGGCCAGTTTGGGGATGGTCAATGGGAACTGGGTGGGAAAATTCCAAGCACACATTGGTTCACTGGAATTTTCTGATTTGTGGAAAACAAAACATCTCACAGAGAAGCTCGCTTCTGCTGGAACCTAGGCAGGGGTCTGAATGAAACCTACCTGGCTCCTGCCAGCTCACCCATCCAGCTCCCGAGTAGCCCACCTGCCTCAGAAATGGGGAGCCCAGAGCTCCCTGGGTCTATGGCTCCAGGGCAGTGGACCTGCCAGTTGGCCCTAGAAAAGGGACCACCAGGGATTCCAGGGTCCCCGGCAGACTGCCCCGGAGTTGGAACTCTGTTCCCTTTAGTAGAGAATTTGGAGGGGGGAAGTGTTCCAAATCAGAACAAAACCAGCATTTCAAAAATACTGAAATGCTACAGGGAA